AACACCGTTGGAACCGTGTTCACCATGAATGGTGAACACGGTTCCATGGCATAACGTCTGCACATGGAAGGGGTAAGCTTAGTAAATCGGTTATTTGGGTTGATTGAACTTAAAATGATTGTCCAATGAGTGTTTTTGTTTTTTTGTTTTTTGTTTTTTTTTTTTTGGTATAGTTTAGTGGCTAATAACACATAACAATTCAAGTGTATTGTATTAACACTTAAAATTTGGTACAATGTAAGCATGTATGACTATGTAATGTGGGTACGGTAATTTCTAATGAATCATTTGATTCTTTGCTTGAATTGAATTTGAATATTTTACAAACCTATGATTGTCTGTTTGGAATTTATTTAGAGATCAAATATTTCGTTACAAATAAATTTGGCTTGTGTGCAACGAACTTGGTACTTGAAATACTTGAACTTTGATCACTCGAATTTGAAATACTCGAGATATAATACTTAAAATGCTTGGTTTTGAGTAAAATACTTGAGACTTGATACTTGAAATATTTAAATTTGAAGTACTTTGGTACTCGAAAAAACTTGAAATATTTGAAAAAATTCGTCACGAACAAATTTGGATTGAGCATAATGGACTTTGTACTTAAAATACTTGGATTTGAATGCTTGAACTTGAAACACCTAAAGTATTTTTAATACTTTTACCTTTGTTCTTTATCTACCAATATGTGAATACAATTGTGTATCTGCATAATGGTAAGTTATGCCTTTGCATTGCTACATGACATAAACTAAGCTAACTTTGAAGGAGTTTATGTATTGTTGGGGAAATGGTCTATGGATGTCAATCGAGATAGTTCATTTAATTTCGGGCTAGTCCTATCGGGGTTATTGATTTATCAAATTTATTTTGTAAAGTTTAAAACTATTGGCTCTAATCTTAAAATATTAAATTGTCAAGCTCAACTAAAACTTCTAACATTTTAAAGATATTTCTAAACTTTCAATTTTAATAAACTAATACATTTTACATTAATAAATATAAACTTATATATCATAATCAGTATAAACCGTAATTTTCAAATGTTTACTAAAAAAATAATATATTTGCATATAATATAATGATTATAATAATTTTTATTTTTTAGTATTTATTTTCATAAAAATATTTTATTTTGTAATACATTTATTAATATTTTTTAAAAGTTCTATTTACAAATTTAATAAAAATACTAAATAAGGATTTACATTGTCCACATCACTTGTAAGACAAAGAATATTTTTTAGTGGCTCAACCTATTGGACTAACCTACTAAATTTAACTATTTTTTATTTTTATTTTTTGGGATAAAATTTGTTAGCTTTAACCCTAGTATTTTGTTTGTTTGTTTGTTTGTTTGTTTTTTTTTTTTTTTGTTTTTGTTTTTTTTTTTCTTCGTCTTATTGGGCTAGCACATTGGTTTCGGACTAAGATTGACATCCCTAATTGGAGATTTTTTAAAACATCAAATTACATGACAACTCACTTCACGTTGCAACATATAAGTTTTTATGTGATTAGTATTCTGTCTATGCCTACTTTTGACAACGGGTTGCATTAGTGTGACTTAACCACGTTAGATATAGTTCGTGTTAACTTTTTTTTTTTTTTTTTTAAAGTATGTGTATTTTAGTTTAAAACGAAAGCAATAGAGTCGTATTGGGTTGAGTCATACGGCCAATCTTGTTGATAAAAATTCTAAAGATGGTAACGGTGTCTATATTTAATTTGGTGAAAACTTTAATTCTTTTTCCAAACAAAAAACACATGCATACATTGTAAATCAAGTTTATATGTTTATGTGTAAATTAGATGATAACTCACTTCCAAGCTGCAACATCTATGTTTTTATGTGATTGACATTCCGTCTATGTCTACTCTTGGCAAGAAGGTGCATTAGTTTGACTCAATCACGCTAAAAAAATATATGTGTAATTTAATTCAAAATAAAATCAATACAGTCGTAATAATAAGAAATCTAACGATGGTAACGGTGCCCATCTTTGACGAAAATTTTAATTATTTTCTCAAGCGTAGATGGAGTAAGATAAGAACTCTACAGATGGCAACAATGCCCATATTTGGCGAAAACGTTAATTCTTTAAATATGGTAACGGTGCCATATTTTGCGCAAAATTTAAATGAAACTCTCCCAAATGTAAATGGAGTAAGATAATAACTCTAAAGATGATAACGGTGTCCATATTTGGCGGAAACTATAATTCTTTAAAGATTGTAACGGTGCCATATTTGGCGGAAACTTTAATTCTTTAAAGATGGTAACGGTGCCAAATAAACTTTAACTATTTAAAGATGGTAACGGTGCCATATTTGGCGGAAACTTTAATTCTTTAAAGATGGTAACGGTGCCATATTTGACGGAAACTTTAATTTTTTAAAGATTGTAACGGTGCCATATTTTACGAAATCTTTAAATGAAGTGAGATAAAGAACTCTAAGAATTTTTTTGAAAAAATAAAAAATAAAAAACTCTAAAGATTGTAAGGTGTGGTAACGGTGGTCCAAACATAAACGAGGTTGAAAAGTATCAAAGATCACAAAATAAACAACAGTGAGAGTCGAACCCACACCTTTTGAGCCAAAACCAAACGCACTAATCCACTGCACTATGCTGCCCCTGTTTAGTTAAATCCGGTTGAAAATAACAAAAATAGTTTAAAAGTGTCAAAAAAATCACTAAATCGACCACAGTGGGAGTCGAACCCACGACCTTCTGATCCGAAGTCAGACGCGCTAATCCACTGCGCTATGCGGTCCTTATTCGACCAAAACTTTTTACTATTTCTTGTCGTTCTATTAGAAAACGAACACTTTTTGATATTTAAACCGCAAGAGCCAAGAGCTGTCCAAAGAAACCATATTTATCTTGGTTAACGAACACAATTCGGTTAAAGTGTTTGACAACCGAATTATATCATTTGATTTTAAATTTTTAAAAAGTTTATCATCAATTAAAATTTTCATTAATCTTAAATTGGGTTTAGCACTATTAGTTTAAATATTAATAAACTAATTTTGATAGTTTTTTTTTTTTTTTCCAAACAATTATTTTCCACTTCGAGTTTCACCAAACTAAAAACTTGACAAATTTGGCCCTGAATAGACCGTGAGTGGGTGAAATATGATTCTGATACAAAAATGTCACGAGTTTAATTTTTTTTATTAACACTCTCTTAGTCGAGCTCTGTTAGGTAGTGGTTATAGATTTCTCGGAATAAGATCACAGTCTGACGGCGAGTCTGATTTGCAAACATCGATTATAGTAGTAGTTAGCTTACCAACAACAAAAAACGATTAGAAATTTCATAAATGTTCAATATTCGTATGGAAGCTATATGTTCTTAGTTTGAGCTAGTAACCTAAACTCTTGTGATCTTTTGCTGACTAGGGTCACAAGACAAACTTCAATCAGAGCAAACATTCTACAGTGATTAAGAGCTTTCTTGTAGTAAATCAAAGAAATATTCAACAAATAGGATTAGACTAGTGTAAGTTGAATACCTACTATATAAAAAAAAAAAAAAAAAAAAAAAGAAATGTTCAATACTCATACAACCGGTGAATAGAGTTATCAAAATCGATTTTGCCCGTTGGACAGGCCTGCCACAACCTCTACCTATATGGCTATATAGGGGGTGACTTTCAATTTTAAAAATCTTACAAAGAGTGGGCCTCAGAGGCCCACGAGCCTGACCCACTTAAGGATTAAATCTTAAATCTTAAAAATACCATATTTTTGTCAAAAGAAATACATAGTATATTATTATGTATATATTATTTATAATATTGGTTATTAAATGTTGTGATAACTAAGTTGGTAATACTCATCTAATTGTTCTTTTTTCTTTTACATGAATCATCTAATTGTTCTTAGAAATTTAAGAATTGAAACTTACCAATTTTTTTTTTTTCTTAAAGAGTCTGTAAACCTTAAGTGAGACTAGGTGGGCAACGCCATTGACAGCCCGCTAAAAGTGGGTTGACCTATACCGTGAGCCCGTTTACAGACAGTCAATCTAACCATATTATATGGGCTAAATAGTCGGGTTAATGACTGAAATAGAAAGAAACGAGAAGGCATGACAAAAATGCCAAATTATATCATGCACCGCGCGTTTTTTTTTTTTAAATGAAAATAAACAGTGTTTGTTTTTTACCATTTTGCATCCTTTTGCAAAAAGTAACCTTGTTTTTCAGTGTCATTTTGTACACACTGCAGTTTCAGTTCAACACAACTACAGTTTCATTTCGATATAACTATAGCTTCATTCGATATTTATAGACTCAAATATGTGAAAATGTTATTTAATTTTATTTTATATACACTATAATTTCATTAAAACACAACTACATGATCATTTTGATATAATTACAGCTTCATTGTACAATATACACTCAAATATGTGAAATGTTATTCAGTTTCATTTTATATACACTGCAGTTTCATTTCACTATAACTACAGTATCATTTTGATATAACTGCAGTGTCGGTTTAGATATACTGTAGTGTCAATTGGTGTTTAATACACCAAACAAGCGAACTCCGTTAACTATAACGGCGGACCGTTACTTAAAGAAACGGCACCGTTTTTTACCGCGGTGCACTATGATATAACGGCTGGACAAAAATAGTCATTTGAGAAATGCATATTCCAAATGATTTTTTATTTTTTTTAAATTATACATTTTTAAAAACCATTTCTATTTATGTTATTGCCTTCTCATTTCATCCTATTGCAGTCATTGCCCCTAAATAGTCACATATCCCGTGGCCATGGCTGCATTGTTTCTTGCATGTTTCCTCTTTGGTATAAACACAAAGGAGCTGTGATCTCCATGAACGTCGCAGACAATACTACACCACACGTGCAAGAACGAAAGTTAGGGAGGCGGTGGGCACCGTGTAGGCAATAGGCGCCGTCATTGTTGGCATGTGGAGGTAGCAAAAAGCAGAGAGAGAAAGAGAAAGAGATTCAAATCTCATCAACTCCAACGCACATGAAGCTGTGCTTTACCATATTTTAATACCAAAAACACTGACTCAGAACCAAATTAAAATCGCCCCACCATTTTAGGAAGAGAGAGGAAGGTTCCCTGAATCCATGGTGGATCAAAAGTTGTATATAACATCAGAATTAAAAATTCAAGGGAAATGTTTTCTTGTATAGTGACCGACCCAGTCCCTCATTTCCTGGATCTTTATTTTCCCACACAAAAGATTGAATCTTTTTCCCCATCCCGGTGAGGGGAAGAGGAAAAAGCTGTGAAAAAATGGAGGAGACGTTCAGAGTAGGGAGGTCATTGGAGGGGACTCCCACGTGGTCCGTGGCTTCAGTCATCACAGTGATGGTTTTCGTTTGCTTGTTTGTGGAACGCTCCATTTTCCGGTTTGGAAGGGTGAGTTATGAGCAAACTTCAAGCTTAATCTCAACTCACTTAAGCTTTAATCTTGACTTCATGGTTCTATTTCTATATTCTGCACTTTTTTCTGACTACCCTTGACTGTATATATGGTGTTCTTGGGTTATTTGCATGCAGTGGTTGAAGGAGACTAGGAGGAAGGCTCTTTATGCTTCTTTGGAGAAGATAAAGGAAGGTGAGTTGCTGATTTGATGCATAGAATTTGAAGAATGAAGTTGAGATTTGTTTATAGAACTTGATAGAGATGTGATATTTATTGCCAAAAGGAGATGCCATTTTTTCTTTTAGTGAGTGGGTCTTTAATCCAATGTTGCAGAAGGCCCTAGGCACTAGTCGGCTGCCCGGGGCGCCTAGGAGCCCGAATAATCTGAGTATATTGTCTCTACTTTTCTCACTCAGGGCTAGAAGTTGTTAGACTGGTTTAATCTCTCAAACTAATCAACTGCATAGTTAGATGGTTAGTTAAGTACATGACTGAAGAAATGTAGAAGAAGATTAGACGAGTAGGTCAAAAAAATCACACGACCGAGTTGAACGCCAACTACGTCGAGTTAGGCACCCGACTCGGTCGAGTTAGGCGCTCAACTCGGCCGAATCGGTGCCTAATCAACCAGTTAGTCGGTCAGCCGACTAAAAGCCGCCTAGGGCTGAAATCACCTTAGTGGGCGCCTAGGCCGATTTTTAGGACATTGCTTTAATCTAATTGAAATGGTATTGTGGGGCAGAATTGATGTTGCTAGGGCTTATTTCTTTGTTGCTGGGGCAATGGGCAAGGTGGATTACTCAAATTTGTGTCAGCTCCTCTCTATTCAGCAGCAAATTCTTCATTTGCTCAGAAGAGGATTATGACACCTCCCAAAGTATTCAATTCACAAAGTCCTGGATATTGTCAAATAACACTGATATTCCTTCCAAGGAAACTACCCAATCATCACCACATCCTCAATGTGGAGAGGTGAACTCTACCCCCCGCGCCTTTCGTGTAAACTTTAGAGCTTAGAGCAACTGTTTTGATGCGTTTCCGACATTTACAGGGCCGGGAACCTTTCGTTTCCGCTGAGGGCCTTGAACAGCTTCATCGCTTCCTGTTTGTTCTTGCCATCACTCATGTTCTGTATAGCTGCATTGCAGTGGGCTTGTCTATGAGCAAGGTTCAAATTCACTTTCACTTTTTTTTTTTCTTTTTCTTTTTTGAGTACTACTGACTCTGTTACAATTTAGTATTTGTTCATAAATTCACTTCCAGTTTAGTTCGGTAGTTGGGGTAAATCCACGATTATTATCACTTTTGGTTGTAAATAAATGTAATTGTAGATATACAGTTGGAGGAAATGGGAAAATCAAGTTAGCATTGGGGCTGAGACGAACTTACAAGGTATGCAAATGAAAAAAATATAATGAAGAGCTATGCTTGTTTCGTTTATCGGTTTAATTTGTTGATACACGGTTTTTGTCAGCAGCAAAGGTTAAAGTGATGAGGCGACAATCCACTTTTGCTCTTCATCATGCATCACATCCATGGAGTCGAAGTCGAGTTCTAATCTGGATGGTAATTGTCCATTCTCGAGTCTTCTTCACATATACATGTTTATTAGCTTACTTCCATTTAGTCGTAACAATTAAGATGAACAGAACTGAATCTTTAACTCAATTCAGCATTACAAGAAATACATTTTGCTTTATCTTTTGAATCATAGCACACACTTATATATGTTCTTGAAGTTTACGTTTCTACTCATATTGCAGCTATGCTTTTTAAGGCAATTCAGGAGTTCCATTCATAAGTCAGATTACTTAGCGTTGCGATTGGGCTTTATCACTGTATGTATCTCCCCCGAACTTTGTTATACTCGAAGATAAATAGCGATTCTGAAACATTAGTAGAAAGGGATAAGTGTGATTCTTGGTTATATTTCTGCAGAATCACAAACTTCCATTCTCCTATAATTTCCACAAATATATGGTTCGTAGCATGGAAGATGAATTTTATGAAATCGTGGGGATCAGGTATATGTATCAGTTAAACAAACAAATTTTTTTCCCCGCTTTTTTGAATTGTAGGAAACTCTAACTAGCTTAATCTTTTGCTTTTGCAGCTGGCCACTTTGGGGTTATGCTATCATTTGCATCTTTGTAAACATTCATGGTAAAGAGTTCGTTTTTTGGAATGAAAGTCGACATTTTTTGGTGTTTGAAGCTTCAGATTTCACTGTGATCTATGATGCAGGTCTTAATATCTACTTCTGGCTTTCTTTTATACCTGTCATTGTAAGTCATCCCGCCTGGGACCTCAGCACTTAATATTAGAGATTGCTATAGTTATCGAGATTTTTTTTTCACTGAAACAACTTGTTTCTCTCTGATATAAACTTTCCTCGCGTTCAAGCTTGTCATGGTGGTCGGGACGAAACTCCAACATGTTGTGTCCTCGTTAGCGCTTGAAATTGCAGAGCCAAAAGGTCCACTGATTGGAACTCAAGTTAAGCCACGAGATGGGCTGTTTTGGTTTGGAAAACCAGAAATATTGTTACGCTTAATTCAGTTTATATCCTTCCAGGTAACATAGTATGATAAGTTTTATTCATTTCAAGAACACAAATGAAACTTGAAAGTAGTGTTTTATACATTTCAAGAACACAAATGAAACTTGAAAGTAGTTGTGTTTGTTCAACATCTTTACGTTTTCTTGGTGATTTATGCAGAATGCTTTTGAGATGGCTACGTTTATCTGGTCCCTGGTGAGAATTTCTGTCTCTCCTCTCTATAATTCATCAGTCAAAGCATTGCAATTGGTTTGTCATGTTCTTGTGGAGTTTTTGACTCTTTTGATCCCATGAATTTGGTGGTACAAGACTATAAAAATTGTCACTATAAATGTACGAATCTTTTTTTTTTTTTTGCCCAATGGTCTTTTTGGTGAGAAATGGGGTGAAAATGTGAAATCCCACCGGATTTTATTACCTGATTACATGTGAGTATGTGACCAAGCGTTATTGGCAAAAATCTCACCTACTACGAGAGCATGTCTTGTGAATGGACGTTTTTGCCCTTTGGTCACTCGCAAATCATGTGATAAAATCTGGTGGGATTTCACTGGCATTTCTATCAAAAGTGGGAAAAAAGATTGAAGCCGTACATATATACAAAAAACTTTTATAGTCGTGCACTATAGTGGAACGCCATCAAACTTGTGAGACAAAAAGTGAGAGTAACTATGTTTTGATATAAAATTCAAGAATCACAACATCAAAGTATCCTTAATGGTTCTGGTTTCACATGTGGCAGTGGGGATTCCAGGATCGATCTTGTTTCATGAAAAATCATGCAATGATCTCCATCCGATTGACTTCAGGGTATGTACAACATTCTAAGTAAATTATTAGTTAGACTTGACATATCCAACAATGACACCCTTGTTAATGTTTGGTTGGATTTGGTATTATATTGTGATATTGCCTTCCCCTCCCTCGTCAGGAAAAGTGCAAATTTGGCCCTTCAATTGTGAGCGTTTAGTCGTTTTAGCAGCGGGTTATCATGAGTGAGTAAATGTTTGCAATTATTCTAAAGCGTTGCAATTTTGACCCTTTTGTTAAGAGTTTGAGGAAATGAGAAAGCATGTGTGTTGCCATAATTTCAAGAAGGAAAAAAGTACTTTTCCCCTCCAAACTTTCCCCTCATGAGGTGGCTTTCATTCATTGAGATTGACTATCACACCACTAATTAAAAAATAAATGTAGCTACTAATCAGATGATGCCACCTCAGAAGAAAAGTTTTTAGGGAAATACAGGAGGGATTTGTAGCATTTCTCTTTCAAGAAATCCTATGTGTGAACTTTCTCAGACTAAACAAACTTTCTTCAAACTGGTAGTAGACGGGCCAAAATTGCAATGGTTTGGAATAATTGATGATGCCATTTGCTCATAGTCAAGGGCTAAAATGATTTCGAGTGACAAGAAAAACTCAGTCACTAGAGGGTGTGCTTTGAGTAAACCCCGCATTGTGACCCTAACCGACAAAGGACCACAAGGAAATAAATCAGCCTAGATTGTCCATAGTTGATCGTCTCAAACCAATAACACTAAAATAATTTAAAAGCTAACAATTGAAGGGCCAAAATCACACTTTTCCCTCGCAACAATTTTGGTCGCACTTTCGGATACCAACTTAGCTTGCATAATGCAGGGTTCTTGTTCAACTATGGTGTAGCTACAGCACAGTTCCTCTGAATGTCATCATCTCACAGGTTTGCAACACAATCTAATCACCAATTCACTAAGCCAAAACCAAATGATGTTTTGATCTTACCACAAACCTCTTGTGTACCTTGAACTGCTGCAGATGGGTTCTCGTTGCAGAAAGGCTTTGATAGCTGAAAGTGTCAGGGAATCACTCCACAGCTGGTGCAAGAGAGTTAGACAGAAATCGAAGCGTGGCACCTTGACTACTAGATCTGTATGTTCGCTTGAATCGACATTCGATGAAAGGGACGAGGTAACCACCGTGGCATCTCTTACGTTGTCTCCATGTTCCTCTTCGCGCTCCCTAAACGCTCTGGACGAGGATGGCGACCCAACTGTTCATCCAGACCAACTAGAACATGATTTCCCCTTTAGGGAAGAACATGGTGCAGAAGACAATGTTGATGACACTGAGGAAGGCAGGCCTGAGACCCTTCTTCAATTGTTTCAGAAGACATGAAATGTTTGACATTCTGGGATTGATTCACACTTGTCCCTAACAATATGACTGTAAGTAGTTTGGTCTGTTGTAATAGTTTCACAGTCTGTTCAATTAACCATATTAATAAATGAAAAAATTACATTTTTTTTTATCATTCAGTTGTCCCCATGAATTCATGATACATACTTATTATATGCGTAATATCTTTAACCCTTAAGGCTGTGTTTGGAAATTCGGAAAATGATTTCTCCGAGTTTCCTATGTTTGGCAAAGCTTGAAAAATCCAGTCAACAAAAAACATTTTCCGTTGATTGAGAAAAAAGTCAATTTGGCGGAAAATGACTTCCGCCAAATGACCAACAAAGTTTCTGGCGAAAACTAGTGTTCTGGTTTCCGCCGAAAATCAGAGCTGTGGTTTCCAACGAAAACCAGAGGAGAAATCTTAAAAAAAAAAAAAAAAAAAAACGAAAAGCAGTGAAGAAGGGGAACCAGAGAGAAGTTTTCTCTGGTTTCTTCCAGCGAGGGAAACCAGAGAGAAGTTCTCTCTGGTTTCTTCTGGCGAGGAGAAGTTCTCTAGCTTCTCTCTGGTTTCTTCCGTCTTTTTTTTTTAAAAAAAAAAAAAAAAAAAAACTTTTTAGGAATTAGTATTATTTGATTTAAAAATAATTATTATTATAAATATTTTTTATTTTAACAAAATAATTAATTATATAAAATGTTCAATTATACCATTCTACCTCATTTTCAAAAAAAATGAACCAAACACAAAAAAAATACTTTCTGCTGTGCTCCCAAACCCGAGAAAGGAAAATATTTTTCAGAAAATGACTCATTTTTTAGAAAACATTTTCCAGAAGTCATTTTCCTGCTTTCCAAACAGGCCCTAAGTTATGCACGAAATGACAATTTTAGCCCCTCGGAAACTATTTTCACCACCAATGTCACTTAATAAAGTGGGTGATTTAGTTATTCAAGGACTAAAATTGTCACTTTGCAACTCAAGGGGTAATTTATACCACAGGTATAACTGGAAGACAAAAGTGCAATTTTCCCTTAATAAATATTACAATAAGCCATTCACAGAATCAATCAATATTACAATAACCAAATGGAGCTTCCACCTGCCCCTGCCAGGACAATTTTCAAACTTCCTCCATGGGAGAAGAATACAGCATATATTGCAGATCATATGAAAGCATAACAAAATATGCAAATTCAAAGCACAGAAAAACAGATGGGCGGGGCAGCGCTACCAAAGCATGCTGCTTGACAAAGGAAAAACCAAAGATAATACTCTGTATATAGTGACGGGTAAAAAATATAGACCAACTGCAAGAAGATCTCGAGGACAAATTGTTCATTGCTATAATCATAAGAGATGCTGATCCAAAAAACTTTCTAATTGCATGGGAATCGGTATAGAAAACAAAAAGGAAGTAGCAATTCTGTTAGAGTACAACATTGTGTAGAGCAGGCGAGGCTATTGATATACTACATGCCAAGTGAAGCTGGTATTGTGCTAGCCTCAGATAATAACAGTAATCTCTGCATTCTAAACTACGAAAATTATGTTTTTACATCCTGGGGAAGAGGGAAAATTCTCGGGCCTTCCCCACAATCAAAAGAGGTACATACCACTGACAAAATCTGAACATCCAGCTGAAACATTACCAGTGCCCAATACTTGAATAGATTCTCGAATTTTTCTGACTTGTTGCCAGAATAAGAGCACTGAATCAGACCTCGTAACAAATATTAGTCACATTTGATGTTTCGGTAGATCCTCCTCACGAACAGATTTGAGCCAAGAAAACCAACAGCCCCTAAACACGGGTAAGAAATAAAAGACATCATTGAGGTTAAAACTTCAAAAAGGTTTCCTTTGGGTAAGTTGTCTCAGTTTGATCAGGATTCAGGAATTTCAAAGATCATAAAAAAATGAAACAAAATTCCTCTAATTTTTTGGATATGCAAAATTGGTTATTAACAGAAGTGCAGACAAGGAGGTGCAAACTGTCCAAGAAGATCAAGTCTCATACAGCTAACCTTATCATGTGAATTAAGATTCTACTAAAGTAACAGGTTAAAAGAGTATTATAATTACCGCAAAGGATTCCTAAGCCCAGACAAAACATCAGTGTGTATCCAAAGTAGAAGCTGACTTGGAAGAACCCTGACATCTTAGTCTTCACATAGTAGTAATATATAGAGTACAAGTATACATAGACAGCTGTAGAAGCAGCTGAGAAGAATGAAGTCCACTGCCAATGATAATTCTCAGCATTTAGCAAGAAATATGTTCCCACGATCGTCACACAAACAGTAACAATGATGAGAATCAGGAAAACCAGAAGCATAAATCCATAGACATAGTACACCTGCAGAAACCATGTGGAAGTGAAAAAGAAGAAAATGAAAGATGGTATTTGAGATAGTAGAATAATGTGACTGTTTTTGGAACTGACAGGAAATTTTGTCTCTTGTGTAAAAACCAATAAATTTCTCTGGAAGTTGGAAACTGAGGTCTTTTTCATAAATTTCTGTGCATTCCGTCAGTTGCCTAGACAGTAAATTTCAAGTCCTATCTAAATAATTGGCTTAAAGCCCAAGAACTATGTCCAATCTAACAATCAAAACCAAAAGGAAGCAGGAAGTTGGTATAGTTACCTTGTAATTCCAAAAGGATGTGAAGACAAAGTACATCTCAATAAATATGCTGCCAAATGGAAGCAAGCCGCCCATCATGGAGACTACCGAAGGAGTCAGGTACCACTTCTTTACAGGGATAGGGCGGGGTATAGTCTTGACACGGCATGGATTATTTGGAGCACCACTCCAGTTTCTTCCAATGACAGTACCAAGTAGTGCTAGAGGGAAAGAGATGAATCCCCAGATGACAAAAACCACCACCATTGTGCCAAAAGGAATGGCTGCTAATGACCCATAGAATATGGCAACAGTGTTGAGTGCGAAACCAATCCCAAAGCACAAAAATGGAAAAAGTGATGCTGTGAGAATCATAGACTTGATCCAGTGTTTGCCTGTAACAATGAGATAAATGACATACTTTCTCCAAAGTTTATAGGAACCAATGCAAAAGAATTACGGAGTAATAGATTAGATAAAAGCATAAATAGACATAAGAAGTGCATACCACCATTGCGTGAGTACATTCCACCGCTAACATACCCTGAAATGAATGAGGTAAAAGCGTAACACACTATGAAAGTTGTGACAATTGCTCCTCTCCTGAAATAATCATATAAATAATACATTTAGAAACAAATGTGTGAGAAAAATTGTCTATAAAAAATGAAACTATCCAACAATGCCATGACTTATAGTAAACCAAAAATATGCAGGTGAAAAACATGTGTAATAAAAATCAGAAAATATCCCAAGGATGTCATGAATTAATTAATATAGTAAGCAAAAACATATGCAGGCAAAAAAATATGCAAAATAAAAAATCACAAAATGTCCAAGGATGCCATGATTTATAGTAAGCAAAAATATGCAGCCATGAGGACCCCTATTAAAATACAAAACACATTTTAAAATGAAAGGAGAACAAAGTGGAGTAATTTGATCCTGAAGAAAACATTTGTAGTAATTTAATTAGAAACCACAATGCAAACTAAAGGTTTCAATACGACGTACCCAACATACAACATTCCCACAATGGCAAACAAGATGACAAGGAGAACAAGCAACGCAAGTTGTGCACCGGTACCGACAAGAGCAGAAAGTAATACAAGATTGCAGGGTGTCCGAAAGATATCACCATGAACAAGTTTCCAACCAGACTCTTCACTTACATCTCTTTCCTGAAAGTAAGACACAAATGGTTAAGAAAATAAGCATACAAAAGTTCCAGCATCTATAAATAAAAGATTGATACCAGAGATTCTAGATCATCATCCTCTCGGGCATATTTGGCATAATCATTTCTTAGAGTCCTCATCAATATCATGGATACCAGTCCAGTGAGGAAAATAACCATCATGAAGGAATTGAAAATGGAGAACCAATGGATCTGCAAAATAGATGACACATTAAAATGAAATATTCCATGCCAAGCAAAAATAGAACCTCTACTTATAACTTGCCAACAGAAATAGCAACTTTCATGATATAATTTAAGCATACAAATCAACTACATCTTAATGGAGGTTGTCTGAAATGTTAGATACTGAGAGGCTTGCAAAATAGCAGTGTTAACCTCATTTTCAGACAAGGCAGGACTGAAATTTGGATATGTTTGCACAAAATGTGAAAATACAATGAAAAATGCAATATCCACCTGATGTTCAAAAAATGGGTAATCCAAGTACACATCAAACCGATGAGCAAAATTGATAGTGGTCTCAGTCCATTTCACAGAATATGTCATGTCGAAGGATCTCCCAACTTCTAAAGGTTTTGGGCTCTCTTGACTGAGATTGACATGAATGATCTGCAATTAAAGAAAGCATTTATTAATACACAAACCATATGCAAAATTCAGAAACAGTCAACATGCCACACACCTGATCTTTATTATATTTAACTGTTATACTTTTATGGGTGAAAATAACAGGTTTGTTATCACTATTCCTGTCCAGGTCCCCAACAAAACCTGTGATCAATGTAACGATTAGAAAAGCTAGGTGCCATGACAAGCATCAGAATAATATTTTATAGAGGTGTGCATTGGAAGAGCTTACAGAAATACAGAATACATACCCCATAAAGGCAAATCATCTGAGCTTGGATGCAGCACACATGAATATAAGAGAAGGTGGAATCAGAAATAGGGTTCAAAATAATAAGCAAATCTTCGAAAATATCTTTAAAAGATAAAATCAAACTCAAGCATCTGATCATAAATACAGTTATGAGAACTATACAAGTATAACTTCAAAGGTCTCAGAAGAAAAGAATAGGTACTTTTTGGGTTCAAACAGAAAACTTGCTAGAGGACACTGTCTTCAATCAGTCAACCCAACAAAAGTTTGGGGCCCATAAATGGCATGTTACTTGGTCAAAAGATACACTTCTCATAATTCTCATTTACAAATCTCAGTTAAATTTGCTTATGATTTGTGGAACACTGTGCAACTATGGAGACCAACCACGTCAAAAACAAAATTAAATATGCAACAGTCACCAGAAAAAT